GTTCAGCCTCAGGACAGTGTTTCTTCTGAAATCTAGAATTGGATTCCGCTGTATTTATTGTTGTTGGCCGTGGGGCATGAACTCAGGGCCTGGGCACTGTCCCTGAGCTCTGTTACTCACGGCTGGCGCCCTGCCACGTTGAGCCACAGCTCCACTTCTGACCTGAGGTGGTTCATGGGAGGTCAGAGTCTCAGGGACTTTCCTGTCCAGGTTGCCCTCCAACCCTGATCCTCAGATCTCAGCCTCCTGAGAGGCTGGGATGACAGGTGTGAGCCACTGCACTTGACTCGGACCCTAGCGCTCCTGTCAGCTCTGTTCTTCACAGTTGGTGTTCTACCACGTAAGCCATGCCTCAGTTTCCCCTTGGGTCTTTTTTAGTATTCCTTGTACCGAACAGCTTTGACGGTCATGACGCTGAAGGCTTTCAAGTGTCTTTGGGATTCTCTCTCTCTGTCTTGATTTGAGTTTATAAGCAGCAACATTTCCAAGAACTTCAGAGACATGTGTGCCGACAACAAATGGGTAAATGAAATCGTTCAGAGAAGATCCAGAACCTCTGTCCTATGGCAAACACCTCCACCCAGTGTCACCTCCAAAGAACCACCGGAAAACCAGACATGGAGCTGTGAGCCAACGTGTTGGAGCGCTAGCCTTGAGCCAAACACACAGACACACACACACTCAAACACACACACACAAAAACACACACCACACACTCACATACCACACACTCACACACACACACACCACACACACCACACACACATGCACACGCACACACACGAAGTAGAAGGTTTTGAAGTAGACTTGTGTCAAATGAGTCACTACTATCCCTTCCCACCTCCCTCCTCTCCTCTCTTCTCCTCCCTTCTGTTCCCCTTCCTCTTCCCTGTCTTCTCCTCTCTCTTCATTTGTCTCCTTCCTACCTTCCTTCTTTCCATCCTTGCTTCCTCTCTGTCTTTCGTTCTTGCCTTTTTTCACTCTCTTTCTCCTTTTGTCTCTTTTTCCTTTCTCTTTCTTTCCTTCCTTCCTTCCTTCCTTTCTTCCTTCCTTCCTTCCTTCCTTACTCCCTCCCTTCCTTCCTTGCTTTCTTTTGTCTTTGTTTTTTGTGTGCCTGACCTGGGAATTGAACTCAGGGCTGGGAACACCACTTGAGCACACACACACACACACACAC